TAGCAGCGGGTGTGTGTCAGGAGGGGTGGTACTGTTTGGGGGAGGTCGAGTGGAGGCAGCAGTCTTGTCGTCAGCAGCAGCAGCAGTCCGGAGGCTACAATCTCCGGTAGTCGCCAGTCGCCCGTGGGTCCGTTGCTCGTCTGCCGCTACTTTTAGCCGCGGGGCCAGTTACCCCAGTAGTCCGGAGCGTTGTTCCGGTAGCCACTGAGCCAGCAGCTCGTCTGTGTGTCTGCAGCGTCAGCAGTCGCCTCCCATCTTCTCTCCCCCACAGTCTCTCCTCCTCCTCACTTGCCCTCTGCGATAGCCTCTAGCTTTGCTCATAATTGTGAACTTTAAACTATTGCTTCTTGAACTTGTGCTCAGAATGTGTGGTGACATTGTGATCCACCCTGAGCTTGTACTGCTGTGCTTGCTCTGCTGATTACACCCCACTTTGGCTATGGGGGTGTGTCAGAATATTATGCTCTAGCCTGTAGTGGGGTGCTCTATAGCGAGTACAACCCTTCTAGGGTTTGCTATTTGTATCCTCATTCTTGCTAGTGCACTCCTCCTTCTTCTTTTTAAACTTTCACACGGCGGACGCATTATTCTTTCAGTACAAATACAGCAAATACCATATGTATTCCCATTTACTTTAAATTATACCATTCCCCACCCCCCTACCATGTTTTAACCTATCAGATCTATGTAATTTGACAGATGTATACATTCCAGTCGTACAGGGTACCTGCACTACAAGCGCGCATAGCAACCAAACTGACCAGCGCATTACTCATGTTTGTAGATATGCAGTTACTACCATATTCTTGCCAGTCCACTAGATTAGGCCTTCTACTTCAACAAGACTAGGTTATAACCTTTCCGATCCACATAATTTGGGAGATTTCAGAGTTCCAGTTCCGCCTTGTACCTACACACAAGCGTGCATACTGACCTTACCGGCCCACGCATGTTTCTCTCCGTACAAATATAGAGAATACCGTATGTATTCCCATTTCCTTTAAAAGACACCATTTCCCACCCCCCTACCATGTTTTAACCTATAAAATCTATGTATTTTCGCAGATAAAGACATTTCAGTCATACATGGTACCTGCACTACAGGCGCGCATACCGACCAAACTGACCAGCGCATTATGTATGTTTGTAGAGATGCAGTTAGTGCCGTATTCTTGCCAGTCCACTAGATTAGACCTTCTACTTCAACAACACTAGGTTATAACCTTTCCGATCAACATAGTTTGGGAGATTTCAGAGTTCCAGCTCCGCCTTGTACCTACACACAAGCGTGCATACTGGCCTTACCGGCCGACGCATTATTCTTTCTGTACAAATACAGCAAATACCATATGTATTCCCATTTACTTTAAATTATACCATTCCCCACCCCCCTACCATGTTTAACCTATCGGATCTATGTAATTTAACAGATATAGACATTCCAGTCGTACATGGTACCTGCACTACAGGCGCGCATACCGACCAAACTGACCAGCGCATTACTTATGTTTCTAAAATGCAGTTAGTACTATATTTATGTCAGTTCACTAGATTAGGCCTTGTACTTCAACAACACTTGGTTATAACCTTTTCGATCCACATAGTTTGGGAGATTTCAGAGTTCCAGCTCCGCCTTGTACCTACACACCGCCCCATTCTCCCGCTTTCCATCACCCCGCCCCATTCTCCCGCTTTCCAGCACCCCGCCCCATTCTCCTGCTTTCCATCACCCCGCCCGATTCTCCCGCTTTCCATGACCCCGCCCCATTCTCCCGTTTTACATCACCCCGGCTGATTCTCCCGCTTTCCATCACCCCGCCCCATTCTCCCTCTTTCCATCACCCCGCCCCATTCTCCTGCTTTCCATCACCCGCCCAATTTTCGCGCTTTCCATCACCCCGCCCCATTCTCCCGCTTTCCATCACCCGCCCCATTCTCCCTCTCACCATCACCCCACCCCATTCTCCCTCTTTCCATCACCCCGCCCCATTCTCCCGCTTTCCATCACTCCGCCCTATTCTCCCTCTTTCCATCACCCGCCCCATTCTCCCTTTTTCCATCACCCGCCCCATACTCCTGCTTTCCATCACCCCGCCCCATTCTCCCTTTTTCCATCACCCGCCCCATACTCCCGCTTTCCATCACCCCGCCCCATTCTCCCGCTTTCCATCACCCCGCCCCATTCTCCATCTTTCCATCACCCCGCCCCATTCTCCCTCTTTCCATCACCCGGCCCATTCTCCCGCTTTCCATCACCCCGCCCCATTCTTCCGCTCTCCATCACCCTGCCCCATTCTCCCGCTTTCCATCACCATTCTCCCACTTTCCAGCACCCCGCTCGATTCTCCCGCTTTCCATCACCCCGCCCCATTCTCCCGCTTTCCAGCACCCTGCCCCATTCTCCTGCTTTCCATCACCCCGCCCAATTCTCCCACTTTCCATCACCCCGCCCCATTCTCCCTCTTTCCATCACCCCGCCCCATTCTCCCGCTTTCCATCACCCCGCCCCCATTCTCCCTCTTTCCATCACCCCGCCCCATTCTCCCGCTTTCCAGCACCCCGCCCCATTCTCCCTCTTTCCACAACCCCGCCCCATTCTCCCGCTTTCCATCACCCCGCCCCATTCTCCCGTTTTCCATCACTCCGCCCGATTCTCCCGCTTTCCATCGCCCCGCCCCATTCTCCCGCTTTCCATCGCTCCGCCCCATTCTCCCGCTTTCCATCACCCCGCCCCATTCTCCCTCTTTCCATCACCCCGCCCTATTCTCCCGCTTTCCATCACCCCGCCCCATTCTCCCGCTTTCCATCACTCCGCCCCATTCTCCCGCTTTCCATCACCCCGCCCCATTCTCCCGCTTTCCATCACCCCGCCACATTCTCCCTCTTTCCATCACCCCGCCCCATTCTCCCTCTTTCCAGCACCCCGCCCCATTCTCCCGCTTTCCATCACTCCGCCCCATTCTCCCACTTTCCATCACCCTGCCCCATTCTCCCTCTTTCCATCACCCCGCCCCATTCTCCCGCTTTCCATCACCGCGCCCGATTCTCCCGCATTCCATCACCCCGCCCAAATCTCCCGCTTTCCATCACTCCGCCCCATTCTCCCGCTTTCCATCACCCCGCCCCATTCTCCCGCTTTCCAGCACCCCGCCTCATTCTCCCGCTTTCCATCACCCCGCCCGATTCTCCCGCTTTCCATCACCCTGCCTCATTCTCCCGCTTTCCATCACCACGCCCCATTCTCCCGCTTTCCAGCACCCCGCCCCATTCTCCCTCTTTCCATAACCCCACCCCATTCTCCCGCTTTCCATCACCCCGCCCCATTCTCCCGCTTTCCATCACTCCGCCCGATTCTCCCACATTCCATCGCCCCGCCCCATTCTCCCGCTTTCCAGCACCCCGCCCCATTCTCCCGCCCGATTCTCCCGCTTTCAATCACCCCGCCCTATTCTCCCGCTTTCCATCGCTCCGCCCCATTCTCCCGCTTTCCATCACCCCGCCCCATTCTCCCTCTTTCCATCACCCCGCCCTATTCTCCCGCTTTCCATCACCCGCCCATTTCTCCCGCTTTCCATCACCCCGCCATATTCTCCCGCTTTCCATCACCCCGCCCAATCCTCCCTCTTTCCATCACCCCGCCCCATTCTCCCTCTTTCCATCACCCCGCCCTATTCTCCCCCTTTCCGTCACCCCGCCCCATTCTCCCTCTTTCCAGCACCCCGCCCGATTCTCCCGCTTTCAATCACCCCGCCCTATTCTCCCGCTTTCCATCGCTCCGCCCCATTCTCCCGCTTTCCATCACCCCGCCCCATTCTCCCTCTTTCCATCACCCCGCCCTATTCTCCCGCTTTCCATCACCCGCCCCATTCTCCCGCTTTCCATCACCCCGCCATATTCTCCCGCTTTCCATCACCCCGCCCAATTCTCCCTCTTTCCATCACCCCGCCCCATTCTCCCTCTTTCCATCACCCCGCCCCATTCTCCCCCTTTCCGTCACCCCGCCCCATTCTCCCTCTTTCCAGCACCCTGCCCGATTCTCCCGCTTTCAATCACCCCGCCCTATTCTCCCGCTTTCCATCGCTCCGCCCCATTCTCCCGCTTTCCATCACCCCGCCCCATTCTCCCTCTTTCCATCACCCCGCCCTATTCTCCCGCTTTTCATCACCCGCCCCATTCTCCCGCTTTCCATCACCCCGCCATATTCTCCCGCTTTCCATCACCCCGCCCAATTCTCCCTCTTTCCATCACCCCGCCCCATTCTCCCTCTTTCCATCACCCCGCCCCATTCTCCCCCTTTCCGTCACCCCGCCCCATTCTCCCTCTTTCCAGCACCCCGCCCCATTCTCCCGCTTTCCATCACCCCGCCCCATTCTCCCGCTTTCCATCACCCCGCCCAATTCTCCCGCTTTCCATCACCCCGCCCAATTCTCCCGCTTTCCATCACTCCGCCCCATTCTCCTGTTTTCCATCACCCAGCCCCATTCTCCTGCTTCCCAGCACCCCGCCCCATTCTCCCGCTTTCCATCACCCCGCCCGATTCTCCCGCTTTCCATCACTACGCCCCATTCTCCCGCTTTCCATCACCCCGCCCCATTCTCCCTCTTTCCATCACCCCGCCCCATTCTCCCGCTTTCCATCACCCGCCCCATTCTCCCGCTTTCCATCACCCCGCCCCATTCTCCCGCTTTCCATCACCCCGCCCCATTCTCCCTCTTTCCATCACCCCGCCCCATTCTCCCTCTTTCCATCACCCCACCTCATTCTCCCTCTATCCGTAACCCCGCCCCATTCTCCCGCTCTCCATCACCCCGCCCCATTCTCCCGCTTTCCATCACTCCGCCCCATTCTCCCGCTTTCCATCACCCCGCCCCATTCTCCCGCTTTCCAGCACCCCGCCTCATTCTCCCGCTTTCCATCACCCCGCCCGATTCTCCCGCTTTCCATCACCCTGCCTCATTCTCCCGCTTTCCATCACCACGCCCCATTCTCCCGCTTTCCAGCACCCCGCCCCATTCTCCCTCTTTCCATAACCCCACCCCATTCTCCCGCTTTCCATCACCCCGCCCCATTCTCCCGCTTTCCATCACTCCGCCCGATTCTCCCACATTCCATCGCCCCGCCCCATTCTCCCGCTTTCCAGCACCCCGCCCCATTCTCCCGCCCGATTCTCCCGCTTTCAATCACCCCGCCCTATTCTCCCGCTTTCCATCGCTCCGCCCCATTCTCCCGCTTTCCATCACCCCGCCCCATTCTCCCTCTTTCCATCACCCCGCCCTATTCTCCCGCTTTCCATCACCCGCCCCATTCTCCCGCTTTCCATCACCCCGCCATATTCTCCCGCTTTCCATCACCCCGCCCAATCCTCCCTCTTTCCATCACCCCGCCCCATTCTCCCTCTTTCCATCACCCCGCCCTATTCTCCCCCTTTCCGTCACCCCGCCCCATTCTCCCTCTTTCCAGCACCCCGCCCGATTCTCCCGCTTTCAATCACCCCGCCCTATTCTCCCGCTTTCCATCGCTCCGCCCCATTCTCCCGCTTTCCATCACCCCGCCCCATTCTCCCTCTTTCCATCACCCCACCCTATTCTCCCGCTTTCCATCACCCGCCCCATTCTCCCGCTTTCCATCACCCCGCCATATTCTCCCGCTTTCCATCACCCCGCCCAATTCTCCCTCTTTCCATCACCCCGCCCCATTCTCCCTCTTTCCATCACCCCGCCCCATTCTCCCCCTTTCCGTCACCCCGCCCCATTCTCCCTCTTTCCAGCACCCTGCCCGATTCTCCCGCTTTCAATCACCCCGCCCTATTCTCCCGCTTTCCATCGCTCCGCCCCATTCTCCCGCTTTCCATCACCCCGCCCCATTCTCCCTCTTTCCATCACCCCGCCCTATTCTCCCGCTTTTCATCACCCGCCCCATTCTCCCGCTTTCCATCACCCCGCCATATTCTCCCGCTTTCCATCACCCCGCCCAATTCTCCCTCTTTCCATCACCCCGCCCCATTCTCCCTCTTTCCATCACCCCGCCCCATTCTCCCCCTTTCCGTCACCCCGCCCCATTCTCCCTCTTTCCAGCACCCCGCCCCATTCTCCCGCTTTCCATCACCCCGCCCCATTCTCCCGCTTTCCATCATCCCGCCCAATTCTCCCGCTTTCCATCACCCCGCCCAATTCTCCCGCTTTCCATCACTCCGCCCCATTCTCCTGTTTTCCATCACCCAGCCCCATTCTCCTGCTTCCCAGCACCCCGCCCCATTCTCCCGCTTTCCATCACCCCGCCCGATTCTCCCGCTTTCCATCACTACGCCCCATTCTCCCGCTTTCCATCACCCCGCCCCATTCTCCCTCTTTCCATCACCCCGCCCCATTCTCCCGCTTTCCATCACCCGCCCCATTCTCCCGCTTTCCATCACCCCGCCCCATTCTCCCGCTTTCCATCACCCCGCCCCATTCTCCCTCTTTCCATCACCCCGCCCCATTCTCCCTCTTTCCATCACCCCACCTCATTCTCCCTCTATCCGTAACCCCGCCCCATTCTCCCGCTCTCCATCACCCCGCCCCATTCTCCCGCTTTCCATCACTCCACCCGATTCTCCCGCTTTCCATCGCCCCGCCCCATTCTCCCGCTTTCCATCGCTCCGCCCCATTCTCCCGCTTTCCATCACCCCGCCCCATTCTCCCTCTTTCCATCACCCCGCCCTATTCTCCCGCTTTTCATCACCCGCCCCATTCTCCCGCTTTCCATCACCCCGCCATATTCTCCCGCTTTCCATCACCCCGCCCAATTCTCCCTCTTTCCATCACCCCGCCCCATTCTCCCTCTTTCCATCACCCCGCCCCATTCTCCCCCTTTCCGTCACCCCGCCCCATTCTCCCTCTTTCCAGCACCCCGCCCCATTCTCCCGCTTTCCATCACCCCGCCCCATTCTCCCGCTTTCCATCACCCCGCCCAATTCTCCCGCTTTCCATCACCCCGCCCAATTCTCCCGCTTTCCATCACTCCGCCCCATTCTCCTGTTTTCCATCACCCAGCCCCATTCTCCTGCTTCCCAGCACCCCGCCCCATTCTCCCGCTTTCCATCACCCCGCCCGATTCTCCCGCTTTCCATCACTACGCCCCATTCTCCCGCTTTCCATCACCCCGCCCCATTCTCCCTCTTTCCATCACCCCGCCCCATTCTCCCGCTTTCCATCACCCGCCCCATTCTCCCGCTTTCCATCACCCCGCCCCATTCTCCCGCTTTCCATCACCCCGCCCCATTCTCCCTCTTTCCATCACCCCGCCCCATTCTCCCTCTTTCCATCACCCCACCTCATTCTCCCTCTATCCGTAACCCCGCCCCATTCTCCCGCTCTCCATCACCCCGCCCCATTCTCCCGCTTTCCATCACTCCGCCCCATTCTCCCGCTTTCCATCACCCCGCCCCATTCTCCCGCTTTCCAGCACCCCGCCTCATTCTCCCGCTTTCCATCACCCCGCCCGATTCTCCCGCTTTCCATCACCCTGCCTCATTCTCCCGCTTTCCATCACCACGCCCCATTCTCCCGCTTTCCAGCACCCCGCCCCATTCTCCCTCTTTCCATAACCCCACCCCATTCTCCCGCTTTCCATCACCCCGCCCCATTCTCCCGCTTTCCATCACTCCGCCCGATTCTCCCACATTCCATCGCCCCGCCCCATTCTCCCGCTTTCCAGCACCCCGCCCCATTCTCCCGCCCGATTCTCCCGCTTTCAATCACCCCGCCCTATTCTCCCGCTTTCCATCGCTCCGCCCCATTCTCCCGCTTTCCATCACCCCGCCCCATTCTCCCTCTTTCCATCACCCCGCCCTATTCTCCCGCTTTCCATCACCCGCCCCATTCTCCCGCTTTCCATCACCCCGCCATATTCTCCCGCTTTCCATCACCCCGCCCAATCCTCCCTCTTTCCATCACCCCGCCCCATTCTCCCTCTTTCCATCACCCCGCCCTATTCTCCCCCTTTCCGTCACCCCGCCCCATTCTCCCTCTTTCCAGCACCCCGCCCGATTCTCCCGCTTTCAATCACCCCGCCCTATTCTCCCGCTTTCCATCGCTCCGCCCCATTCTCCCGCTTTCCATCACCCCGCCCCATTCTCCCTCTTTCCATCACCCCACCCTATTCTCCCGCTTTCCATCACCCGCCCCATTCTCCCGCTTTCCATCACCCCGCCATATTCTCCCGCTTTCCATCACCCCGCCCAATTCTCCCTCTTTCCATCACCCCGCCCCATTCTCCCTCTTTCCATCACCCCGCCCCATTCTCCCCCTTTCCGTCACCCCGCCCCATTCTCCCTCTTTCCAGCACCCTGCCCGATTCTCCCGCTTTCAATCACCCCGCCCTATTCTCCCGCTTTCCATCGCTCCGCCCCATTCTCCCGCTTTCCATCACCCCGCCCCATTCTCCCTCTTTCCATCACCCCGCCCTATTCTCCCGCTTTTCATCACCCGCCCCATTCTCCCGCTTTCCATCACCCCGCCATATTCTCCCGCTTTCCATCACCCCGCCCAATTCTCCCTCTTTCCATCACCCCGCCCCATTCTCCCTCTTTCCATCACCCCGCCCCATTCTCCCCCTTTCCGTCACCCCGCCCCATTCTCCCTCTTTCCAGCACCCCGCCCCATTCTCCCGCTTTCCATCACCCCGCCCCATTCTCCCGCTTTCCATCATCCCGCCCAATTCTCCCGCTTTCCATCACCCCGCCCAATTCTCCCGCTTTCCATCACTCCGCCCCATTCTCCTGTTTTCCATCACCCAGCCCCATTCTCCTGCTTCCCAGCACCCCGCCCCATTCTCCCGCTTTCCATCACCCCGCCCGATTCTCCCGCTTTCCATCACTACGCCCCATTCTCCCGCTTTCCATCACCCCGCCCCATTCTCCCTCTTTCCATCACCCCGCCCCATTCTCCCGCTTTCCATCACCCGCCCCATTCTCCCGCTTTCCATCACCCCGCCCCATTCTCCCGCTTTCCATCACCCCGCCCCATTCTCCCTCTTTCCATCACCCCGCCCCATTCTCCCTCTTTCCATCACCCCACCTCATTCTCCCTCTATCCGTAACCCGGCCCCATTCTCCCGCTCTCCATCACCCCGCCCCATTCTCCCGCTTTCCATCACTCCACCCGATTCTCCCGCTTTCCATCGCCCCGCTCCATTCTCCCGCCCGATTCTCCCGCTTTCCATCACCCCGCCCCATTTTCCCTCTTTCCATCACCCCGCCCTATTCTCCCGCTTTCCGTCACTCTCCCCATTCTCCCGCTTTCCATCGCTCCGCCCCATTCTCCCGCTTTCCATCACCCCGCCCCATTCTCCCTCTTTCCATCACCCCGCCCTATTCTCCCACTTTCCGTCACTCGCCCCATTCTCCCGCTTTCCATCACCCCGCCATATTCTCCCGCTTTCCATCACCCCGCCCCATTCTCCCTCTTTCTATCACCCCGCCCCATTCTCCCTCTTTTCATCACCCCGCCCCATTCTCCCTCTTTCCAGCACCCTGCCCTATTCTCCCGCATTCCATCACCCCGCCCCATTCTCCCGCCCGATTCTCCCGCTTTCCATCACCCCGCCCCATTCTCCCGCTTTCCATCGCTCCGCCCCATTCTCCCACTTTCCATCACCCCGCCCCATTCTCCCGCTTTCCATCAACCCGCCCCATTCTCCCGCTTTCCATCACTCCGCCCGATTCTCCCACTTTCCATCGCCCCGCCCTATTCTCCTGCTTTCCAGCACCCCGCCCCATTCTCCCGCCCGATTCTCCCGCTTTCCATCACCCCGCCCCATTCTCCCGCTTTCCATCGCTCCGCCCCATTCTCCCACTTTCCATCACCCCGCCCCATTCTCCCGCTTTCCATCACCCCACCCCATTCTCCCGCTTTCCATCACTCCGCGCGATTCTCCCACTTTCCATCGCCCCGCCCCATTCTCCCGATTTCAAGCACCCCGCCCCATTCTCCCGCCCGATTCTCCCGCTTTCCATCACTCCGCCCCATTCTCCCGCTTTCCATTACCCCGCCCCTTTCTACCGCTTTCCATCACCCCGCCCCATTCTCCCGCTTTCCATCACCCCGCCCCATTCTCCCACTTTCCATCACCCTGCCCCGTTCTCCCTCTTTCCATCACCCCGCCCCATTCTCCCGCTTTCCAGCACCCCGCCTCATTCTCCCGCTTTCCATCACCCCGCCCGATTCTCCCGCTTTCCATCACCCTGCCCCATTCTCCCGCTTTCCATCACCACGCCCCATTCTCCCGCTTTCCAGCACCCCGCCCCATTCTCCCTCTTTCCATAACCCCACCCCATTCTCCCGCTTTCCATCACCCCGCCCCATTCTCCCGCTTTCCATCACTCCGCCCGATTCTCCCACATTCCATCGCCCCGCCCCATTCTCCCGCTTTCCAGCACCCCGCCCCATTCTCCCGCCCGATTCTCCCGCTTTCAATCACCCCGCCCTATTCTCCCGCTTTCCATCGCTCCGCCCCATTCTCCCGCTTTCCATCACCCCGCCCCATTCTCCCTCTTTCCATCACCCCGCCCTATTCTCCCGCTTTCCATCACCCGCCCCATTCTCCCGCTTTCCATCACCCCGCCATATTCTCCCGCTTTCCATCACCCCGCCCAGTTCTCCCTCTTTCCATCACCCCGCCCCATTCTCCCTCTTTCCATCACCCCGCCCCATTCTCCCCCTTTCCGTCACCCCGCCCCATTCTCCCTCTTTCCAGCACCATGCCCGATTCTCCCGCTTTCAATCACCCCGCCCTATTCTCCCGCTTTCCATCGCTCCGCCCCATTCTCCCGCTTTCCATCACCCCGCCCCATTCTCCCTCTTTCCATCACCCCGCCCTATTCTCCCGCTTTCCATCACCCGCCCCATTCTCCCGCTTTCCATCACCCCGCCATATTCTCCCGCTTTCCATCACCCCGCCCAATTCTCCCTCTTTCCATCACCCCGCCCCATTCTCCCTCTTTCCATCACCCCGCCCCATTCTCCCGCTTTCCATCACCCCGCCCAATTCTCCCGCTTTCCATCACCCCGCCCAATTCTCCCGCTTTCCATCACCCCGCCCAATTCTCCCGCTTTCCATCACTCCGCCCCATTCTCCTGTTTTCCATCACCCAGCCCCATTCTCCTGCTTTCCAGCACCCCGCCCCATTCTCCCGCTTTCCATCACCCCGCCCGATTCTCCCGCTTTCCATCACTACGCCCCATTCTCCCGCTTTCCATCACCCCGCCCCATTCTCCCTCTTTCCATCACCCCGCCCCATTCTCCCGCTTTCCATCACCCGCCCCATTCTCCCGCTTTCCATCACCCCGCCCCATTCTCCCGCTTTCCATCACCCCGCCCCATTCTCCCTCTTTCCATCACCCCGCCACATTCTCCCGCTTTCCATCACCCGCCCATTCTCCCGCTTTTCATCACCCCGCCCCATTCTCCTGCATTCCATCACCCCGCCCCATTCTCCCTCTTTCCATCACCCCGCCCCATTCTCCCTCTTTCCATCACCCCGCCTCATTCTCCCTCTATCCGTAACCCCGCCCCATTCTCCCGCTTTCCATCACCCTACCCCATTCTCCCGCTTTCCATCACTTGCTCCATTCTCCCTCTTTCCATCACCCCGCCCCATTCTCCCTCTTTCCATCGCCCCGCCCGATTCTCCCACTTTCCATCACCCGCCCCATTCTCCCTCTTTCCATCACCCCGTCCGATTCTCCTGCTTTCCATCACCCCACCCCATTCTCCCTCTTTCCATCACCTCGCCCGATTCTCCCGCTTTCCATCACCCCGCCCTATTCTCCCGCTTTCCATCACCCCGCCCCATTCTCCCTCTTTCCATCACCCCGCCCCATTCTCCCTCTTTCCATCACCCCGCCCCATTCTCCTGCTTTCCATCACCCCGCCCCATTCTCCCTCATTCCATCACCCTGCCCAATTCTCCCTCTTTCCATCACCCCGCCCCATTCTCCCTCTTTCCATCACCTCGCCCTGTTCTCCCGCTTTCCATCACGCCGCCAAATTCTCCCTTATTCCATCACCCCGCCTCATTCTCCCTCTTTCCATCACCCCGCCCCATTCTCCCTCTTTCCATCACCCCGCCCCATTCTCCCGCTTTCCATCACCCCGCCCCCTTCTCCCTCTTTCCATAACCCCGCCCCATTCTCCCGCTTTCCATCACCCCGCCCCATTCTCCCGCTTTCCATCAACCCGCACCATTCTCCCGCTTTCCATCACCTCGCCCCATTCTCCCGCTTTCCATCACCCCGCCCCATTCTCCCTCATTCCATAACCCCGCCCCATTCTCCCGCTTTCCAGCACCCCGCCCCATTCTCCCGCTTTCCATCACCCCATTCTCCCGCTTTCCATCACCCCGCCTCATTCTCCCGCTTTCCATCACCCCGCCCCATTCTCCCGCTTTCCAACATCCCGCCCCATTCTCCCGCTTTCCATCACCCCGCCCGATTCTCTCGCTTTCCATCACCCCGCCCCATTCTCCCGCTTTCCATCACCCCGCCCCGTTCTCCCTCTTTCCATAACCCCGCCCCATTCTCCCACTTCTTACAGGGCAGCCTGCACGAGGAGATCTAGCTGCGCCGCCCACCAGGCTTTACTGGGTCGCTCCCTTCTGGTACCCAGTGGAGCCTCAGGGGGCTAGTCTACTGACTCCGCCAGGCGCCGCGTGAGTGGCACGACACACTGAGTACTACACTTGCGGCTCTTGGGTTTGCTCCGTCGACTGCTGACCCGTCGCTGTTTCTACGCACCGACACTTCGCTGCCGCCGTTCTACATCCTCGTGTACGTCGACGACTTGGTCTTTGCCACTGCTGACACTGAGGCTCTCGCCCTGGTGAAGAAGAGACACACGTGCACAGACCTGGGTGAGCTGCGCAGCTACCTTGGCTTGCACATCATCCGGGAGAGAGCACGCCGCACCATCACACTGACTCAGTCACACATGGTGCAGCAGGTCCTTCAGCGCTTTGGCTTCACCTGGTCCTCGGCACAGGCCACTCCTTTGGCTACAGGTCACTCGCTCTCAGCTCCACCTTCGGACGAGTCCGTAGAGCCGAGTGGTCCTTACCCAGAGCTAGTGGGCTGCCTCATGTACCTGATGACCTGCACTCGACTGACCTTGCGTACCCTCTTGGCCTTCTGGCTCGCTACGTGGATACTGGTCGGCACCGAAAGGTGCACATGGATGCTGCTAATGTTGGTGCAACCCTACGGTTTGCACTCGGCTTGTTGTCCGTGTGCGTGAATGTGTGTGTGTATGGAATGGTATGAGGGCATGGGATAATATATATTTCATGCTTATAATTGTGTGTGAATGTTGAGTCATGATGTCGAGTGTGTGTGTCGAGTCAATAGCGAGTTATCGCTAGACGCGTGTTACGCGGTCGTTTGTGTCTCGCGCGCGGTTTCTATTTTGTTGTGCGCGGTTTCTATTTTGTCCTGTGTCGAACGTTCGGCGTGTCGCAGGTGTGTGCAGCAGACCCATCAAGAACTCAAGGATGAGTTTGTGATGAAGAGCCCGAGCCTTGGTGTCAAGCCTCAAGTGATTTCGAAGCTTGCCAAAAGGGTACACCTCAAGATATTGAAGATAGTTACATTACTTTGTGTAGTGTAACATTTCACTTGGTGTAGGCCCTAGTGAAGGGTAGTTTCGAGACCCTTCGTGGTTGGGGACAGTGTGGCACTGTTCCACATCACTGTACCTCGGCTCTTGGGGTTTGTAGGAGCTGGGAGTCATTCCCAACTCGTAACTCTTCCTATCTTGTGTTCTAAGACTATAGTGGCTGCCATAGTACCGTTCGTTCAAACCGACGCTGTGTCGTCAATTCTTTATCAGATCGTGCAATCTAAATTGCTAATTGTAGACGACGTGAAGACGCTCCAGATCCAATTTGAATCAGGTCATTTGCAGCTGTGAGCAGAATGCTATCAACGTTTGAAGCCGCTGTGCAGAAATCCGTCTGTGCTCTCTATCTTTCGTTTTAGGCACATTCAAGCCTATTGTGACTATAACAAGTGGTATCAGAGCCCCTTGGAGCAGTTTCGACAATGTCTGGACCTGAGGAAAGGGGTGACAGAGGTGCTGGTGGCAGTGGAGAAGCTCAAGCTCAAGGCCAACCCCGTGATTCAGCCATGGCGCCCATGCAACCAAGTCTTGGCCCACCTAGGGATGAGCCTAGGGTGTTTGGGCTTGACAAGTTCAACGGTGACAACTTTGCTGAATGGTCCTTCAAGATGGAGAACATCTTTGACCACTATGACCTGCTAGAGGTGATGGAAGGAACGGAGAAGCGCCCCGAGAACGACCCGGAGAAGAGCCCGTGGGTGCGGAAGAGCGCACAAGGCTATCTCTTACTTGGGCAAGCGTTGGGGAGCAGTCAGATCCGTCACATCAAGCCATTCCAGCGTGAACCAGAGAAAGGACCAAAGGCATGGGCTGCTCTCAAGGGTGTACATGCTCCTGCAACAGCGGCGGTAGCGGTGGTGTTGGAACGGCAAATGGCGGCACTACGAATTGAAGAAGACGAAGCGGTTGAAGAAGGGGTGCAGAAATTCTTCGACTTGTTGACGCGGCTTGAGGGAGCTGATTTGAACTACAGTGAGCTCCAAAAGAAGACCAAGTTGCTGGCCTTACTCCCAGAGTCATGGTCCTCGCTCATCATCAACCTTAATCGCGACTTGCCCCGCCTCTCGCTTGAAGACGTGAAGCGAGCTATCCTTCAAGAGGATTTCCGCCGCCGTGAGTTGGCGAGTGCGGATGGCGCTGGGGCAGCGAGCATCGGCCGTGGATATGGTCGAGGAAGAGGCAGAGGACGAGGGGGAGGAAGGTTTGGTGGCAGCAACTTCGGCGGAGGCCGCAGGAGTGGCGGTTACGGCAGCGACGACAAGAGCTACGGACGCGGTCGCGGCCGATTCGACGGCGAGTGTCACTATTGCCACAAGAGCGGACACATGTGGCGCGACTGCTACAAACTCCCTGATGGTTGGACCCCTGCTCAAGGCCAAGAGGGTAGAGGAGCAGGAGGAGGGAGAGGACGAGGCCGTGGAGGCCGTGGCGGTCGCGGTGGCGGAGCTGCAAACATGAAGAGCGGAGACAACGACAAGGACCCGAGCGACGATCGATACCCGGGTCTATTCTACTTCGTGTCGACGCAAGTACCGGCTGGTCCAGAGAAGGATGAAGGCTTTGAGGAGCCAGCAGCTGTGGGGAAGGTGACCCTACACCCCCTGGACTATTGGGTGATTGATAGTGGCGCTACCTATAGCATGACACCTCGCCCGGACTTGCTCACCGAACTCGAGCCGTCACCGGTGAAGCATGTCACATCGGCTTTGGGGCAGCGAGCAGAGGTGAAAGGCATGGGCAAGGCCATGTTCAAGGGTGCTGATGGGAAGATGGTGGGCCTCAAGAACGTGCTTTGGGTGCCCAGCCTTGCTGCAAACCTGATTTCCGTGCGGCGGTTGGCAAAGGCCGGCATGGACACGAACTCGAAGGGAGCCAAGACCTACACCGCAAGGCTTGGCGATCGAATTCTTTGGGACCTTCATGAGGACAGGGATGTCTACAACGAGATGTGGCAGATCCCAGTGGTCCCTATGCCTAAGGAGAGGCAAGTGGCAGCAAGCATCAGCACCAAGGATGGAGCGGTCGGTAGCGACGATGGCGCGAACGGTCGCGCTAAGGAGAATGAGCTCAAGAAGAGCAAACCTGGAGGGACCAGCAAGTTCAGTGAACCTAAGGAGAGTGGTGCAGCAACCAAGGAGCAGCAAAAGGGTGAGGAGAACCCAGAGGCAGCAGCGGAGGAGGACTACGGAGAGAGTATGTGGGGCGCTATTGCGAGCGCGGCATTCTCCAATCCAACTTCGGCTACGGGGGAGTGTGATTGGCTCACCTTGCATCGGCGCATGGGGCATGTGGCCCTGCCCATCTTGCAGCAGCTAGTGAAGAATGAGATGGTTGCTGGCATACGTGCGAAGGGGGAGCCCGATGAGGTGCTTGGCTGCCCGACGTGCATTCAAGCCAAGTTCACCCGGTTTCCGTTCCCTAGTTCGGAGGCAACGGCAAAGGCACCGCTTGATGAGGTGGTGATGGACGTGGTGGGCCCCCTGAAGCTTGGAGCTGCTGGAGCTGAGTATTTTCTCACCATTGTCGACGTCTACACCCGCATGACTTGGGTGTACGTGCTGGCCAAGAAGAGCGACGTGGCTGAAACGTTGAAGACGGATTGGTTCCCGATGGTGGAGCGGCAACAAGACCGTCTAGTCAAGTCAATCCGCACCGATCGAGGGGGAGAGTTCCTGAGCAAGGAGTTTGGGTTGTGGCTGAAGAAGAATGGTATTCGGCACTCCCTCACCATGCCATACTCCCCTGCAATGAACGGCATCGCCGAGCGAGCGAACCGCACAATCACGGAGGCGGCACGCGGGTTGCTCATTGAAGCCGGGCTACCCGACTATTTCTGGCCTGATGCGGTGCGGAGCGCGTGTGTGGCCAAGAACAGAGCCTTGACTCATGTGGGAGCAGACAAATGGGTGCCCTATGTGGAGTGGCTAGGAAGGAAGCCAAAGGTGGATATGCTTCGGGTGTTCGGGTGCATGTGCATGGCGCTCGTGCCTAAGCATCTTCGGCACAACAAGCTTGGTGCCAAGGCGGTGTGGGCCGTGCACTTGGGCATGGCTCAAAACAGCAAGGGATGGCTTCTTTGGGACCCATTCACCAAGAAGTTCTTGGTGAGCAGGGACTGCAAGTTCATGGAGAACTTCATGTACAAGGATTGGAAGGCGGAGAATGAGGCGAAGATAGGCGTGCGGTTTGGGGAGGTGAAGAGTTCCGGTTTGGAGCATGTGGAGCTGCCTTTGGAGCTGAGCAGTGGCAGCACAACCACAAGGCAATCCTCCCTTGTGAATGGGGGAGAGGAGGCCAATGATGCAGAGGAAGAAGAGGAGGAGGTGCAGCAAGTGAGCGAGCGTGCACCGTCACTCCCTTCCCGTACTACGAGTGCTCCACGGATTCGAGCCACACCGCAGCAACGCCAAGGCCTTCAAGTCCCTGCAGCTGAGGAGGAAGGAAGGGGGAAGAGGAGAGTTCAACCCCCTAATAGGCTGACCTATGATGCGCCGGGAAAGCAGGGCAAGACAGCCCTGGCCGGAGCGGCAATGATGGTCGGAGACGACGAGGAGAGTGACTACGAGGAGTGTGCCTTCGCGTTCTTCTCTCCGGTGGAGATGCCGGGAGAACCAGCAACTCTCAAGGAGGCTTTGGAGAGTAGTGATG